TTAACAATAAAGCTTTTTTCTTTTAGGATTGGATTCTTACAGGAGTCAGAAAAGAACCAAGAAGATCCTAACTGAGAAAATGACAACACTCGAAACAAAACACACAGATATTTAAAGTGCGAAACAAAATGTTTTACCAAAAGAATAAACAGTCGTAAATTAAATTAGTCCATGTCATAGCTGAATTTATGATCTTGATAAGCGTTGAGATTAATAGCAAGAATTACGGGAGCAAAATAATGGTCGTAGAAATTTTCTTTTCACATAGACGGAGTTAGAATGACTATTACAGTACGAGCCCTCACGCAAATAAGGCCGAGGATGAAGAGGCTCATAAAAGTCATAAATCATACTTAATTCTACGTCAGAGTCACACTCGCGGCCCCCCATCCGTGAACTGAATGCTGATCTGCCTCTATACAACGCCCGTTTTTTTCCACTATTAAAAAGCGTATTACCGTAAACCTTGTCTGAGTTATAAAGCTGTGAGTAATGATACGTCTGTGTGTATCTCCTCTTTGTCACTTCTGTTTCTTCAGTAATAACGTATAACCAAACTCTTTAACACCATCCCTCTTGGTAGTTAAACTGATTTGGTCAAAGAATATCACGATTCATTTTAGTCAGACATCTTAAAATTGAATACAAACGCTATGTTATCAAGCATCATCTATGTTTTAGTTTTACAATTTGGTTTAAAAATATATATCGTGGTGAAGGATAAATTTTAACAACATTTATCTATCTTTCTACACATTCTAATAAAATTAGTGTGTCTGTGATATCAAAAGAAAAGTTCAAGATTTCGAGAAGATGATGTAGAGCGTTGTTAATAACGAAAATCGCTATCTTTTTTGTCTACCTGTCAGTCTGTCCGCAAGCCGCATTTTTTCTGAATGATGTCCGAAACGGCTTGACCGATTTTGACCGGACTTTCACTGCAGGGTAGCTGACATAAACGGGTATATTATAGGCTATTTTTTATACTAACATTGCGTGGACGAAGTGACAGTAGCAGCTAGTCTTAAATGAAATTAAAAAAAAAAAACAGTTTATAACAATTTATGCAAGTAAATGATTATGCGATAACGTATTTCGTACTATTTACTTGCTTTAGCATTGGAATAGTATATTCTCATATAATGCGGATATTGTTGATAACTAATCGTCTTTAGTTCAATAGCTCTTACTCAGAAGCATTCAATTCGAACTCAACTGATAGCGTTGGATTTATGCAAGGAACTCTGGATACAGTATACTTCACAACAATCCAATACAATCAATCTAGACTGTATAGAACAATCAGGGTATTGATTACAATAAAGAAGCTTTAGTTAAGCCTTAATTTTGTTATGGAAGATGAACATTGCAAAATACAAACGCGGAAATATAATAAGTCTTTTTGGTTTACATGATCTTTTTTTAAGTTAATGTTTCACGATAGTTCAAAGTTTATTTTTTTTAACATTATATCGATAAACAAAGATAAACTTTTTGGACATGTTTTAGAAGTTTTTTTAACTTGTTTAATTATTACTTATTTCAATATTATCATATTCAGATATGAGGTTGATTCTCAATTAGTTTCTTGTAAGAATAATTATAACTGCTTCTTGCTTCTTCAGTGATGCTATGCAAATATGATTCATAGAACAGAATAATGTAAGTTCGTTCAGGAATTATCATAAATTATAATATTTCGTTACATAATATTAACTAAAACTTGAGCAACTACTACGAAAGTAAGGGAGAGAGAAGAGAAAAATACGAAACGATGTACCAATAAATTAGTCAAGAAAATACACTCATACCCTGTAAAAATAACGACGAAGGAATCGATCAATATTTATTCGTAATAACCGAAAACTCGGTCTATGGTCTGATCCACTGGAACAGATATGGTTTTAAGTGTTATGCCGTTACTGATGTATTCTATATCAGAGGGCCTATCCCGGAAATTTACGCGACAGTGTTCGTATCGACACCACGTAAATTATATCGAATCCGACAAAATTTGCTCCTAAATCTTCGTGGTCGGTGTGCGACTGTATCCTATTTTAACTTTATGTAAATATTTTTGAAAAGCTCCGATGAGTATAAAGCACTAAATGTTATAGTAAAATTACTGAAATATTTATCCATTCAGTCTTTACGTTAAGTATATTTTCATCCCACGTACGGAATTAATGCCACAGATGTGTTTACTTAGGATCTTGTTCAACTTGCACGAAATTAAGTAGTTTTTTATTTAAATTTTCATAGTACCGACCATTATCAGAATTCAAACTCTACGAATCTTCAAAATATTTGGCAAGCATGTTTCTTTTATGACACTTGAATGTCATTCACATTTGATGGTCACAAAAAATTCAACTGACAATTTCATTTGATCATTAAGTCAAATAAAGGTTCATATAAAGAAATTCACTCTTACTTCTTTATACTGTACTGTAAATGGTTCTTTTTTATTTGATTATTTCATCAATTTGCCGTACGTAATGATATCGCAAGGACAGAATGACTATAAACTGCGTATGTCTACAGAGCTATAAAAGCCGGTGTTGCAATGGGTGCGGTCGCATTAGCTAGACTGCTCTATCAATATGTGAGCATTTAAAGACTAACTTACAATAATGACTGCCGATACGCGAATACGATTTATGGCTGGTTTCTCAGCTACGTTTAACCGACGTTTGACGACGTTAGTATTTTTGCATCGATAAATTCCCGAATGCGTTTCTTTAGAAATTCTTAGTTTTCTACGTAACTTGTTTTACTCCGTTGAGACATGGGTCACCATAACACTAATTAATCGCTAGGTAATGACGAAATAAGTGGAAACTTTAGAAACCCAGCGTAAAACAGATATGAACATTAGTTTTTATTGCATCCATCTGTCCGCGATTAGATTCTTATCTAAATTCTAAGGACGTTAAAAATTGTTTTGTATTGGTATTTCGGTAAAAGCTTAGTCAGCTTAAATTTTCCTATGTAGCTTTATTAGTGTAAAAATAAGTTTGTGGTTAAGTATTGATTAACGCCCAGTTTATTTTATTCCAATCCAGCGTTAGAATCCAGTGCTAGGAAATTGGAAAGCACTGTTTGTACACATGGTCGTAAACGATTTTTTGATACCATAATTTGCTAAGTCTTGAAAAATTAAGCGAAACAAACAAAATGTTTTTTCCAGATATTTTTTTTTAAACAGTAAGATACTGAACACTATGTTACATTCCGCTTCACATTATTAACATAATTAGTTAGATAATAATTAATTCAAGAGGAAATAAGGTCGCCCTAATAAATAACGGCTAACTCGGTTGGTCCCCGTACGTAAGTGTAATAATAGTTTGGTAAAATCAATACAGTAGTCTCGTATTGACATTTCCAGCTGTTAGCATTGAGTGGCGATGTCAAACACAAATGAAAAGATATCAATTAAACTGTTAAGTGAAGTTTCAACGAGCTTCTGTTGACGTTCGAATTTGTTATTCAGTATCTACGCTTTGCTTGTTGCGCCTACAAATCGATTTGTGGTGATTATTTATTTATTACTAGCTGAGAGCATGTAGTCAAAAAGTATTAGAAATTCATGCTTTAGTTCGACTCTTAAGCGGAAAGGTTTATTAAATCTGATAAATATTTTATTTTTTTAGTTATTAAAAAGTGCGTCTTAAAAGCGCCCTATCAAAATTTTAATAACAATATATCTAGTGGCTTATTGATATGTCTAATTGTATCTGCTCTAAATCTTCAATTAACCTTTTGTTAAGGCATACTCATCAAACTAAACGCTAAATTTTAACCACAGCGTTCTCTTTGCTACATTTTTTAACTGCAATATTATTTCTTGCCTATTCAGCGTCACGTCTAACACACTTCTCGAGAACCGCATCTCTATACTAGTCATTTTAATAACATGCTTGCCAAACTTAGTTAAAAAATAAAAGTACAATTTTGTCGACGACCCAAAAAGATTTTTTTCTAAAATTGAATTTTTTTTTCTCGGTAAATGTAGGCATAACATTAACGTAATGTAGTTTACGCATTGTTTCTTTAGTTCTTTTCAAAACGCATGTTTTAATTAATTTTCCTTAATAAATTATAAAGATTCTAGATACCTATCTAGAATCTTAGATAACCTTATCTAGAGGAAAATATAAAGTAATCGCAATCAACAGCTCGCCGATGCATCTAACGGCCGCGCGGCGAAGTCCTGCCTTGAGGCAGAATGCTAGGGAAGTACCAAGTCGATAGTATCGATACTTTTCGTATAATACATTCATATTTTATGTTCATAATTTGGAAAAATTTAATAACGTATCTTACTCGATTAAATGTAGACAAATATCATTTGACTATTTATATTGAATCTACATATTAAAATGATAAAATATTAAAAGATGTTTGGATATTACAATTTGTTAGATTTAATAATTTTACTAACGTCAAAACGTAGGCGAACTCAAACTAAACTCGAACTGGCGACCGTAACTTGGTCGAGACTGTCGCTAATTTATTTTATTGGACCTAGATACGAAGACGGTGTTAAGAAAAACTGCAATTCAAATGATAACAAGATGACGTAACGATATTTATAATAATGTGCATCCCTAGCAGCATCTGCAGCTGTGAAACTGCCTGCCCTCTGCTCGTCGCGAGATTTAATTGAATTATTTGAATGAATCCGACGCTTCCGCCGCCCGTGCCCGGCTGTCGGCTCGCTAGCCAGGAAATATCAATTGCCGGCTTACAAACAAAATATAAAAATACCCTAAATAAAATTAATAAAACAAAACACAAACAGTTACTACAAAAAAAAAAACAAATAAATAAATAAATATTAAACTACCAGTTTAATTGATTAAAATACGAAAATCGACATCAAATAAAAAGACCGCAATTTAAAAAAAACCTTTAAGTTTCATGTCAAGAAAATGTAAGCAATGTTTTTTTTTAAAGAAAATGTTAATAAATCTTGTAGGTAAAATATTCCTTACCTTTTGAATAACATAAACAACAGGTGTCACGATAACCTTGAATAAATAGTTTATAAAGCGGAGTGGGAACGGCACTAAAAGTAAAGAGTCGCTTATACACACGCGTATATGTATAGTGGGGAGTGATCGAGAGGCCGCGGGATGTGCCGGCAACGTCCCTGAGCAGACTGAAGCTAAAGTCGGTCGGTGGCTTACAGTCAGTGTTGCCACTATAAGATATTATTTACCATTTATTTTAAATTATACGCTTTTAACGTGTGAAAATTATTATATCATTTAAGAAAATTTTCCAGTGTCTTAAGTATGTTGTGAAATGAAAATAAACATTTACCTTTTAGACCTATTGTAATTTTTATTATATTATTTTTCACATTTCTTGTAATAACAGTATAGTGGACCAATGAGTTTCTAATAATATAAGGCACACGTGCTGCTGAATTATTCAGTTCGCGGAATTTTACCTAAAATTCGGGAAAATTTCAAAGCACAACATACGCGCTTGAATGATCACTCCTCCCTATTGGTATCGTGCCTGGGGCACCCTACACGGAGTACCGTTACAACGCACGTATTCGCCGACGGTCACTTTAAATTGTAGCAATACATTGCTACTTTTAGTTCTTACCAATAACTGAAGGGCTTAATAAAACAGAAATGTACAGAAAATTGAAATAGACCTTGTTTAAACGCTGACGACAGTATTACGAATCCAGTTTCCGTAAAGCAACACCTCAAAAACGATTAAATAATTGCAGATTCGTGGTTGTGACGTGGTTCAATCGTGAATATTCAACGCAATTGGGGCATTTTGAGGCTTGCTTGATTACATTGAAACCAATGCGTTAATAATAAAGTAGTTTGGTATGAAGTTGTAAGTAGTTCGCAATATTCACGAACACGAAGTTTTAACTAGTGAAATAAGAAAACGTAGTCAAATAGTGCTACGGTTTTCATAAGGCAGCTACGTTGCGTAGCACTATAATCTATTCGTAGCGCAGTCTACCGTTAAGCTTTCACGTATTTCCATATTATACTTTAAAGTTATGAATAAGTTGATAATAAGGTCAAGGAAAATGTAACCCAAAGGCAAACAAATACAAAACTGTTATCCAAACTTCAAATTCAAAAACTTTGGCAAGGAAAATTTTATACAAAAACAATATGCGTAGTTGCTAAAAGATTTTTTTTTTTCAAATATCAAAGGTCAACTGAATGGAATTCTACAGTTAATATAACATTAATATACACGTTTATTACATTTTAAAAAATATTTTGATTACTTTGGTTCGTCAAAGTTTTGTTTTAGGGTAAAAATGTTAAAACAATTGACTTTTCACTTGCTTATTGCTCAACGACAAATAAATATCAAATAGAAAATCATACAAAATGTACTGACTTCGACTCTCAATCTAGTACTCGCTTCCTCGCTTAGTATTCAAGTCGGTCCAACTCAGATCACGTCCCAAGATCAGAGCGACGGGAAATATTTGAATGGAGATGAAATCATAACGCCCTAGAATTATTCACGCTCGTCTGTAAAGTATTATTTTGAAATTACCAAGTAATTTTATTCGAAATGTTACAGCTTATTACGTATTCTACTAATTTGTTTTTACGTTGTATTCAATCTACAAAATGATAATTCTTTGTCTAAGACATATGTTAGAAATAAATCTTCAATTAACATAATCATATAATGCGATAAAATAAATAATAATAGACATAAATAAAACCTTTACAATCTACTAGCTGAAGGTAACTTGATGTAATCAGGTCCTTGATATTGATGTCTTCCCTTCAAAAGCTAGTGGGTTTAAAATATTTATCCGTCATCCTGAAGCGTTCCTCGATACATGTTTTATTAAATAGCCCAGTTGAGAACTCAACCTCTAAAAGGACACCTTTAGAGCGCGCGCACGCCTTTGACTAAACTTTCGCACAACTGTTTAGTCGTGCTTCGAAGCCTATGAACTTATATAGAAATGTGCAGATTACTCGATTTTTAGTTGTGCAACTAAACAGTTGGATTGGCTACGAAACAATCGATTGTTTCGTTCGTTTCGATTGTCGACAATCAGCACAACAGTTGTGTGATAGTTTACTCAAAGGTGTGTGAATGCTCCTAAATCGTGCCTTGTCCTAAACTATAGATTTTGGGCTAAAATCTCTTGAGACTTAAGTGTTACCACAAATTCAAAATATCATAATAAAATTTAATGACAAGGTATTCGTTATCAAAATTAGGTATTATTTTACATTAAGAATACTATTATCTATGTCTTTGTATGTTTATTTTTAATTTGTGTTAGGTTTTTAATTTTAGACGCTCATCGGTTAAAACTTATGGGAAATAATATAAAATAAAACACTTATTATTAATGAAACAAATATATTTCATTACGAAATTAATTACCCAACAAATCCATTTTCAACACGTTTTCAAACCATTTTCAATAAGGTATAATAGGAAAATGTGCTTTTTTTTAAAGTGCCAAATATTCAAATAACACGTTAAAAATATGGTTACTGATTATAATGAGATCATTGTTATATTAAAAAAGCACAAATATTAAAATTACGGACAGCCTTCACCACCCGAACTGAGCTCAGTAACCATATTTTCGCAGCTAAAAATTTATGCCTAATGGTAACACTACAACACACACATTTATTGCACATTTAGAAATTTCGTAAAGTGTTTTTGTCTTTTTTTTTACTTAATTTTAGAGATCCAAGACATTTACTATAATTTTGCACATCAATATTTATGAAACAATATACACAATAGCAATTTACTTAGAATGTGACGCAATACACATCCAAAATATGGAACTATATCTAAATTAGTTTGGACAATGGACAAGATACATTAAATAAAATGGACTGTTCTCAGGTAAAAAAATGTTCCAAACACCTATCCGCCAAATTAAAAATCTTGAAATACCTATATAAATGTTAATATAATAAGAATATCGTGTTAAAACTATAAAACAGGACTATGTTTAACAGTAATAATTATCTGAATATACCAGTAAAAAAAATATATCATATCATGTAACAGTATGTACTATAACCTAGATTTATGGTTAAAAATCATCCGAAGATTTGAGTATAAATGAAAATATTCTTCGGCAAGGACCGTTCAAAACTGTGACTGGAAAAATATCAACCCACAAATATTTAAAATTCATCAGCGTATCAAATTCAACATTGTAAGTTCATATATCAATAGCAAGAGAAGTAGAAACTTCAAGACATCTTTATTACCTAGGAATAATGCTACATATAAAACAAGTCAACACATAAATATAAGCAACTAAGACAAGAGCCGAAACCGATTAAATATTTTCTACTTAAAAGTACCTGCTTTATCAACGATAGAGGTCGCACTAGTTCAAATCAAATCAAACACAACATCCACGTCAATATAACATTCAATACATTTTAATTTTGTTACAAATAAGATAATTCAGAAACCAGTTGTGTTAAAAATCCTTACATAATAGAATACTTTGGTTTCTAAGTGACACAATTGACCCGGCGATTCAGTTCACAATTGGAAACTAATAAGTGAAGCCGTCACCAAAATCAAATCGCTGATAACGTCGGATGAGTTTAATTAATTACCTATGAAGCTTCAATAAATAAAAGGTCTCTGGAGAACAGTTTCTATCACATATCATTACACGTAGCACCACGCGGTTAATAGACCCATCTACTTTATCTACACTTACCACTATTCATTGTTGTATATGGACACGTATAAAAATCAATACATCTGAAAAATAATTTAAGATCGGTATATAAAACATTCTGTATAAGTTATGTTTAAAAATTAAATAAACTCTCTTATTGTTTTATGTATTTAACTATTGAAAGTGTATTTGGCTTTTAAAAAACATTTAAAATCAACACCTATTTGTAGATTACATATTGACTGAGAAACATCTGGCCTATCTTACTTCTACCCGAAAATCAGTCTGCGTTCGTTCGTCGTTGGCTTTCGTTGATTTGCCGCCATCTTATTTCACGTGGTATCTAACTTATCATAATATCACAATCGCCGTAACCGCCAAGAAACATTGTTCGAAACCTATCAGCATGAGCCCCGATACCTGACAGAGATTGTGTTAACGTTAGTTTGCTTTCTAGATCTTACAGAGTCATTGTGTCCTTATTGAGCAGAATTTAATATTAAAACGTAATATATTGTTCAAACGCCACATTATCATATCTTAACCGATAGTATCTAAGGAATGAAAGTATAAAATTACTGCCAATAATATAAATTAAAATGAATTAATTACCAATAAATAACTCCAGAACCAATTTAAATTATAATAAATTAAAAATAAATTTAATAACAACTAATTTCAAACGCACGTGCGTTCAATGGCATTTAACTCTGAACATTTATAATATTCTTGATGATAAATTTTTCGTAAAATGAACACTAAATTGTTTTAAAAACGACAAAGTAAGACAACAAATTTTACATAAATTTTCATAAATATCCAACCTCTTGTTACTACGCCCTTCGCAATTGACTTGCAGTTATAAAATAAACATCATAATAATCCATAAAGTAATTATGTACATGTTATATTCAAGAATCAAATTAATAACAAAAGTCGTCGATTGCTGCAAACCATAATACATAGTGTCCAGCTTTTTACAAAAAGAAACAAATGAAAAACAATTTGATGACAAAGATCGGATAACTTAAACCGCAAATTGAATATTTGACCTTCGTATAATAAAAGAAACAAACACTATTATTAGAAAAGCAATTTTTACTAAAACATAAGAAATAAATCAAATTAAAAGTTCAAAGAAAGTCTCGATTTCAGACCAATTACAGTGGCATTGAAATCTATTTTCGCATTGTCTGTTTCAAATTAAAATACAATAATAAGCCGGACACTATTAGCAAAAAAACCTAAAGTAGAATACAATTATGAAATGGACGGAGATATTTTCACGTACGATGACGTCACATAATTGTGCGTAATTCTCACGTTCAGTACGCAAGCCCGCAGTCTCGTCCTGTTGTTAAACCGAGATAACAGTAATTACACTCCAACATAATATAAAAAAAATTAAAACACTCAAAATAATGCCCAAAAACTCACAGTCAGTTAACGATAAACATTAAAACGATA